TTCATACCATACTAAAGGGTTTCCTTACAATTCCTGTTTCTCATTTCTTTCTCAGACACTTTGTGGTCAGTTCTATACCCTACTAAAGGGTTTCCTTACAATTCCTGTTTCTCATTTCTTTCTCAGACACTTTGTGGTCAGTTCTATGCCCTACTAAAGGGTTTCCTTAGTTCCTTACAATTAACAATCTTACTAAACATGGACTCCATTCAGTATGTACTATGTGTGTACCCATATGCAGCCGGAGTTATGTCGTATTATACATTTTAGTTCCTTACAGTTCCTTACAATTAACAATCTTACTGAACCTTGACTCCATTCAGTATGTACTATGTGTGTACCCATATGCAGCCGGAGTTATGTCGTATTATACATTCTTAGTTCCTTACAGTTCCTTACAATTAACAATCTTACTGAACCTTGACTCCATTCAGTATGTACTATGTGTGTACCCATATGCAGCCGGAGTTATGTCGTATTATACATTCTTAGTTCCTTACAGTTCCTTACAATTAACAATCTTACTGAACCTTGACTCCATTCAGTATGTACTATGTGTGTACCCATATGCAGCCGGAGTATGTCGTATTATACATTCTTAGTTCTTACAGTTCCTTACAATAACAATCTTACTGAACCTTGACTCCATCAGTATGTACTAGGTGTGTACCATATGCAGCCGGAGTTATGTCGTATTATACATTCTAGTTCCTTACAGTTCCTTACAATTAACAGTCTTACTGAACCTTGACTCCATTCAGTATGTACTAGGTGTGTACCCATATGCAGCCGGAGTTATGTCGTATTATACAAGATCCTGAGCCAACCAGCTGCTCCTTGGCCCACAGCCTACTATTGAGACATCTCAAGGAAACCCCAAGGTATAATTACCACCCTTCACTACAGTTGTGGTTTGAGTTATTTAACCCTCTGTGCAGTGCGGTGGAGGCCCTACTTCCTACCTACCTCTCCTGCCTCAAGTCACATGACCACTCGGTCGTCATGGCAACTGTGGGTGTGGTCTCGGAGCTGGTGTTGCTGTGTCCGTCACGGGAGGGCAGTCGACTTCTGCAGAGGTTGTTTCGCCTGGCCAGTCACAATTTCATGAACTGTACTCCTGAGCTACTCCAGGCAGTAGAGGCATGTACCAGACACATCTTCCAGTAGACACTATCTCCATTGAGTACATGTGTTTATTGGCGAGTGAAGCGAGTCTACCTGGTTGTCTTAATATGGGTACTATTATGTGACAGGCACTGTATATACCATAATGTTCTACGTGCACACAAAGGATTGAGCGTCACTCTAAATATGCACAAACAAATTGAACTGCTCTTGCTTCCTCGCCAAAAATGCATTCTAGTAGTTTGATCAATTCATTTGTACTCACACACATGTCATTCAGAGAAGGAGATATTTGCATGGCTAACTAGGGCAAGGTGCTAAGTGTGATACTTATGCTCAAGTAGTCATAATGTTTTTGTGCTCAGTGCTGCATGCAAGAACTGTTACACCTCAGAAGGCATTTCGTAAATCTTTCCGTCCACGATATAGATGTTGTCATTGGTCTTGTCCTCGTAATCACCGAGTACCATCTTTGGGGGCAGGCCCATCTCTGTCGCAGTGATGTAATGGGGTGTGGAGTATTGTTGGGGTATACTCCATTCTTCTGGAGTGGTCCCGTAGGCGGTGTTGTCGTTCATGGAGTAACGAGGGCGTGGCTTTACTGGTGGTTTTCTGCCAACTACTAAAGAAGAAAGATGAGAGTAGAGAGGAGGAGGGAGAGGGGAAAGTGTTATATAAAGGAAGGAGGGGGTGGTAGATGAAGCACTGTTGTAGTAAGGTCATCCTAATGCAGCTTTTGATGTGACCAAGTTTGGATCTTAAACTGAACGAGGAATTTCCTGTATGACATAAAGGTAAACAGGGTTTGAGGAAAACGTGGGGGAATTTTTATTGGAGGGGATGATCAACGAAGAGTTGCGATAATGATGTTTGGGCGTACGTGTTTGTTCCTCCTTCATGTTGGGCGGTGGTGAAGTGGCGGATGATGCAGTGTAGGCTTTGTTAGTGCTCGTGTCGAAACCTTCTGGACAGAAACAAACAGCAACAGGTGAGAGGGTTCTAAAAAACATCCTCGCTTTTCGTTTTGTCGCAGAAAACGTGGAAACACTGAATAGCACACAACCGTAATAATACACCATACCCTTCTAAGTTCAAACAAACGAAAACACCTTTAGATCCATAGAGATAATATAGAAAGCTAACTCACCTTGTTTGTGTGTCTGTCTTGCTCGGTAGCAAAGGCAGCCTCCTACAGCCACCACCCCCACAGTCACCACTAGCAGGAGCCCCAGTACCAGTCCAGTGGGGATCATTATGCCGCTGAGATCTGCTGCATCGTCTGTCCCCTGTTCCTGCAGCTCTCCAGACCCTATCTCCGTATCTGTACCTCCCTCACTGGGAGCTGCTGTCTCCACCACTGGTTTTGAAAAACATGGTCGAATATAATAACTGAGAGTAAAAAAAAGTTGGTATGTGTGCAGAGTTTGTGGTGTTGCCGTACTTGAAATGGTATAAAGCCACCTATGTCACCTAGCTTAGCGCTCCCCTAAACTCCTTGCCCCAGAGCACACTTGAACACAAAGGCAATCCTCTATTAAAGATTGATTACTGCTTGTTAGGTAGATGGGTTTCTAGGTCATTACCAACAATGGTGTTGATCAGGGGTGCTCCACCATAGACCTTGAATTCATTGTGGGTTGGGTTGTTGTCATTCTCGGAGTTCTAGGTCTCGTCGGACGTCCCTCTTCACTTGATGTGCTATCTTCTTGGGTAGAAAGTGAAGACGTGTGTGACCTAGTTGGTGTACCTGTGTATGTAGTAGCAGAATAGATATTCAAAAACTGGTGATGTGTAATGTATTGGTGTATATACCTGTCCTAGGGCTCGTCGGACGTCCCTCTTCACTCGAAGTGCTTGGCCTAGGCCTTGGTGTACCTGTGTATATAGTAGCAGAATAGATATTCAAAAACTGGTGATGTGTAATGTATTGGTGTATATACCTGTCATCCTAGGGCTCGTCAGACGTCCCTCTTCACTCGAAGTGCTTGGCCTAGTTCGTGTACCTGTGTATATAGTAGCAGAATAGACATTCAAAAACTGGTGATGTGTAATGTATTGGTGTACCTGGAGGGAGCCTCTCTTCTCTATCACTGTCAGTTGTCCTTGTTCTGGTCCTAGAGTGAGTCCTACCATCGGATGAGCAATCATCACAACCAAACCCAGTCAAGGTCTCCAGTCTCCACTCATCTGTTGTTAGCTCTTCCTGTGAGGCTGGCCTAGCTAGGTAGACCAGACCAGGATCACTGGGCTCCCTGGCCTTCAAGATGCTTACTCCACCCAACCTGCAGCGTCTTGAATTGTTGAACATCACAACTAGACCCACCACATCCCCAGCCTCGACTCTGACACTGCTGTTAGTTTTGAAACTGTCTACAGTTCGATAGGGACGTGGTGTCTGAGTTGGTATCAGTACCTCACGATGCATTCCGACTGAGAGCAAGCCGCAGAATCCAGGTGTTTTGGTTGGCCTCAAAACATGAAAATCGACAATAATCTCGCATCTATCTGGGTTCTTAATTTCCCAGTGAATGCTCCACTGCTGCAGGATTCCATCACAGCTGAATGTATAGTTACTCAGCACTAATGCAAGGCCTCTTGTGGCGTCAGCCCTCAGGTCATTACTGGACATACCTCCGTCGCTCATAGATTGACTAGTATTATAATTACATTCTGATGTCTGTGCTGCAGGGTAGAGATGCAATGATGATGATGGTTGTGTAATACCAAGCTGAATACTTACCTTGTGAAAGAGGGAGCAAAGTTACAACTGCCATGAAAAGTAGTCTTGTCATCGTTGTATATATCTGTTCTTGCCTTTAGAACTCTTTTGTTATGTGCACAGCATCAGCTATAATTACAACCACTGCTATATAGTCTCGTGCTGACGTAGAAAGAAGCCTGCATGTGCTGTTTATCTTCCCACGGCAGCCGCCCACATCCTTATGCCATGGCGCCATGTAAGTCTTGGATACTAGTATTTACTACTTTGACATGAGTTTTGGGGGGATTTTGGGAGTAATCATACGTAGTAATAATTATAGAGCATTTTACACCACAAAACACATTGCACATACATAATATGAAACTAGACGACAGAACAAAATTGAAGAAAATAGCCTAGTATTTGGTAGTAAAGTTGGCAGGTTTATCAGGCTGAGCCTGTACTACTTGTTTTCCCTGTATTTCCTGTGCTCTGTTGCCTACTGCTGGACACACTAGGAGCATTAGTCAGTGATTGTAGGGGGGTCCGGCAGTTTGGGGGAACTTTCTTCTTCTCTGACGATTTCCTGGAGTTTGCTATTTCGAACCCTCTGACGGGTGGAATTTCGGTACCCGTGTTTCTGCTTTTTCCTTTGGGGACCGTAGTCGGTGAAAATTTGTTCCCTGTGGTTGAGTTGTTTTGAGGGGCCATAAATGGAGAATTCCTGCCCCCCATGAGATTTTGCCCTCCGAGAGGGGGCAAGTCAAAACCCAACACCTTGGGATGATTTCCCTGGCTGAGACATGGTTTTCTTTCCAGCAAAGGAAAAGAGGCAGTTTCCATTTCTTCTGGTTCCTCGTCCTGCGATACTGAACCCAATTCCATGTCGTCACTGGAACAGGAATGGAAATCTGGGCATGAGACGTGAGCCCTGTCAGTTTTCCCCATCGCTGGCAGAGAACAGTTAGCGGCTGTGTGACATCTAGTAAGGCTACGATGTCTTGCTAGTGGACTGGATTGGACACATTGTTTATGGTAGTGCGGAGCTTTTTGGCTTAACCCTTCATTGCCTGAAGTAGCTATTGACAGTTCGTGTTTTAACCCCTTGCAAACTGTGTTAGCTGCTGCTGACATCGTCAATTCCTGCTTTAACCCTCCAGGAGCTGCTAAAGAGTTTGGTGGCTGATGATTCGTTGGGTTGTGGGTGTGGCTCAGTTGAGAGGGTGGTTCTAGACTCCGCCCACCAGGAAGGGGAGAGGCCCAGCTGGCAGACTCAGAGAGAGACAACGAAGAAGAAGAAGAAAACCGGCACACAAGAAACCGGATCGTTCTCCATCACTGCCCAATCCTCTCGCCTCACCTGCAGAGACGTTCTCCCCCTCCTCGACCAGGTCTGGTTCCGATTCTGACTCGGAATCAGACCCGGAGAACCAGAGGGGGGAAGAGAGGTAGCAGCTGTCGCTGAGGAATGAGAGAACTTTGCCGTCCTTCTTCTGAGGTGTTGGTCGCTGGGGACTGGTGGAGGTGGCAGGGTCAAAGGTCACTCCCAGCTGCTCCGAGAATTCCTCCAGTGACATTATCTGAAAATGGATAAAATAGGGAGTCTAAATTTACATTTGTCGTACTTTTAACAAGCAAACAGAAGGAAGGACAAGCCAACCAAATCAACCAAAATATCCGGCAATACCTGTAGTGTGCAGTGCAAATACAATCAGGAGTTATTGAAAATAGGGTGGCCTAAAATTTTTACAACCAGGTGGGGGTGTAGAGGATGGTTGATAATGTATGGAAGCGTCCATATTAGGTTACCTCTTGCTTGCTGATGCAGTGATGACTTGGGTTGGAGTACCTGGAAAAACATGATGTCATTGTTTTTCAAAATGACATCATCGAATCAGTCGTATATGTACCTGCTGACAATAGCACACAGTTCCACTCCTCTGTGATCTGCCACTGAAAACTCCTTTGTCAAACTGAAAATGAAACAGTAACGATGTAGTGGTGGCTAATAAATCTGGTGATTTCATTCAGTCAGTAGTTGCAAAAGAAATCTATGGTAGGCAAAGCTATGTAGACTACAGTAGGAATTTCTCATACCATCTCTTAAAGATCATGAGAGAGCAGGGGGAGAGGGAGGAGAGAGAGAATCCTGTGGCCTTCTCCATGTACATTGGCCATGGGTAGTCTGTGTGTCATGTGTGTTGTGTGGTGGGGGGGGGGGGGGTAAGAAAGGAAATGTTTTAAAGCTCCATTTGCATGCATAAGTGGGCAATGCACCTTGTCTAAGAATGATCTGTGCATTCAGTAGGCAAGCAGCCGCCAGATGAGCTGAAGAAAACCTGTAGTAAAAACAATGACATCATAATAATATAGACTGTGTTGCATCAGGACATGCAGAAAGAAAGCCATAAAACTAAAATCCCTCGTAATCGATCGTTTCTCCCCTTCTCCTCCCTCTCTCCCTCGTAAAATCAGCAACGACATACATATTCTGTTGTCAGGCACAGCGGGCAAAAAGACAAATTTCTCCAAATTTCTTTTTCGTGGTTTCAGAAAATTATTAGTAATAGAGTCTATTGATCTACTATGTACATGTTATGGAATGTGTTGGATTTCAAGATGGTGTGTACCTGGAGAGTTCAGGATGAAGGAGGACGCCCTCAGAGAGGTAGGTCGCCATGCTGTGGACTGTGGGACTGGCCTGAACCAGGGCTAGCAACACCTCCAGATAGTCAGACATCGTCTGTCTCTGGAGATTAGGGGGAACAACAACAACGGAGGGGAGAGGGACAGATAGAGATGCACATTCTTCACGATCTATATACAACATCGTATGAAACTTTGGTTGAGAAAACTGCTCCACAATTTAAAGACAAAACAGGAATTTCGAACACTATTGCTTGTCTCGCTGCCCAACGGTTCCTCCTATGACAAACTGAGTCACAGAGTCACTAATATTTCCCAGAGAGCAACAACTGTGCTAAAACCGTGTCACACAAAGATTTCTCTGGACGGTACATACTACGTACGTATGTATACCTGTATGTCACCGTGGAAGGTGCCCAGCAGTTCCGACATCATCTTGACTACCTCGTCGTAGGAGTAAGTGTTGTCTGTGAGCCACGAGGACTCCCTGATGGTCAGCATCGTCGCTCCACTCCACCTGCAGAGAGACACAGAGCAGGGGTAACTGTTGCTTTACCATAATGAATGTTCATTTGGGAAGATTCTGAGGATCTGTAGTAAAAATGTTGATTTCAAAAAATGTTTACTTTAAAGCAAGTAAAAGAATGTGGATTATAAACTAAACTGTTGACTTTCAAGAAAAATTTATATTTCTATTTCTATAAGTGTATTAATTCATTATTGTGTAGACTATCACCCAACAAGATGAAACTGTACTGTATATTCCAACCATTACACATAACAACTGAACTTTCTATATCCACACTTGGGCTTTCAAAATCCACAGCCATTGATTGTGGAATACCGTGAAGCCACGAGGATGGAGGTCACTCCCAGCAGCTGGAGGGCCGAGCGGTCAACCTGGCGAGAGAGGAGGTAGGCATCAAATAGAGTCACGGCCTGGTGGAGGGTGCGGCTCGAGAGACTCTTCAGTTCAGCTATCTCTATCATCCAGTCCACTGTGATGAATCTGGGGAGAGATAGAGGCAGCAGAGGAGGAGAAATGATTGATTATGTTAAGGGACAGGTGGCAGTAGACAGGGCTAAATTTAGAAGCGTCACTAAAGATAGCACTAAGCAATAGGGCCCAGCGCAAGAATCCCAATGGAGTTTCCATTTTCAGAAACAGTGGCTCCTTTATACTGACACATCCCCTTTAACACTTAACCAGTCACAGAGTCCAGAGCTTCCATAAGTCCATAAGAATTTATATGGGGTATAATACAAGGCGCCAATGCTTTATACATAAAACTCTGCTTATTTAAGAAGATACCCATGGCGTCCAAAGGGTACCTCATGGCGTTGGTGATGTCTCTCTGGACTCTGAACATTGACTGTGAGAGAGAAGGCCGACTGGCCATCATCTGATCTCTTATGAAGGCAAAAGCCTCTTCTCTGCCAACACTTCCTGTATAGCCTCCAGCATACGTCATACACAGCTCCATCTGATGTGTGTGTGTGTGTGTGTGTGAGTGTCAGAGAGTGAGAGGGTAACAGTTGAACAACAGAGAAGGAGGGGGGTTTACCTTGGCCTCCAGTGTGGACGTGTGGTTGCTCATGGCGATTATCTTTCTCAGACTACGCACGGCGGGCACCTCCTTCACTGCCAGCTGGGAAAAGAGAGAGAGAGAGATGGAGGGGAACTCATACCAACTATTACACGATGGACGTTACCTGTGGTTTCATGGATCTTCTCCATACCTCCAGAGCCGAGAATGGACAGCGGTGGCTGGCTCCTCGTTCAAACCAGTCCATCGCAGTCTGCCCCGTCTCAGCATCCTTGCCATCAGCCTGCACACAACACAACACACGCGTTGTCATATTGTTGCCAACTCACTGCAGAGCTTTGCTCAAGTGGGAAGATGTATGTGTACTTGTGTCAGCTATACACTGATGTACAGTGAGGAATACTTCACATTACGTACCTCTAGGAAGTTAACAGTTTGTCCTAGACTGTAGAACAGGCCAGAGTTAGCCTGTGGAAAAAGAGAGAGAACCATTTAGGGTCGTCTGAACTTTCAGCAGGCACAGGTTCCACAGAGTTGCCAATAAGCCTCTCACCGGGTTGAGTACATACAAGTGAAGGCAAAGTACGGGTTGTGCAAAGTTGTGGGGGGCTAATAAAACATGTAAATTACTGTAAGAGGCGGTAAAAGGATGCTACAGTAGTTGACACAATGAGAGCTGTTCAGACGCCATACAAACCAGAACGAGATGTGAATAGGAAACACTTGTGTAGAGGAAGGAGAATGACAAGAGGTGTCAAGAGAGGTGATTATCGGCAAGTGTGTGGGGGGGAAGGTGGAAATGACACCTGACAGGTGCCAGAGGCACGGCATGGAACACATCCATTGTCACCTGGTTCATTACGTCACTGGTGTATCACCTGTGTGCATACTATTGGCACTGACCTGGGTTGTGTTTGTGTTTACTACATTGTGTGCGCTTGTAAGTTCAGCATTGCACAGGGTTTTATTTGTGTTCACCGTTCCATTGCGTGCACAACATTAGCACTGTTTATTGTGTGTCTACTAATGGGTCTTCAGTTCTAAACTTCTTGCTTGAACAACTCCCGTTTCTGAATGCTCGCAAAAGAAGCAAGAGTGAGAACTATCAATTGTCATGGCTGCAAATAGGCAAATTGGCGGTAACGCACATGCAAGAATGTTGGCTACAAAATGTTTCCAAGCTCTAGCTAAAATGGCTAAATCACATCACAAACATGACCGAAAACCCTTGGTGCAGTGCTCTGCACGTGAACACCAGTGAACCACCATAAACCTCTTAAGCCAGTGAGTGCTGTGGCACTTACACAAAGTAAAATGTAAAATTTACTCACTTCTCCATCTCCTTTGCTCTCTCTTTCTCCTTCTGCTTCGAGACCTGGGGTCCTCCGGTCGAGGCATCTCTCCACCATCTTGTGATAGGCGCACACCTTGTTGGAGACGGAGGAGCTCCACGGCGGCCTAATGAGGAACCAGGAGAAGGGACGAGAGGAGGGGTATGAAGAATCCAGCTTGAGGAGAAGATGAGCCGCTCGGATTCCGTTCCACGAATCCAGAGTCCCTGCTCCTGCACCTTTGGGTACTGGAGAGAGAGAGAGGAATGAAAGAGAGCAAGAGGAAGAGAGAGAGTTTACCCACCTCCCTGGTTGTACAGGAAAGCCATGGCCAGCTTTATGATAGCTTCCTTGTTTCCAAAACCAGCAGCTCTGTAGGAAAAACCAGGATAATGTAATAGCTAGAACGCCTAGAAATGGCTACCGTACGCACTTCTCTATGAGCAGGAGGTGGGTAGAGTCGACTGCAAGTCCTTGTAGAGAGACGGTAGCCCATAGTTTCCCGCCTACCGCTCCGTCCACCATGTCCCGCAGTCTACGGCAAACCTGCAGCAGGGAGAGAGAGAGCGTCAAAAGTCCGCGGACAAGGGAGTTGTTCGTGGCGGCGTGTAAGAGACACGAATACACACCTGTCTGAGATTAGCGAGGTCCCTGAGCCCCACGCGAGCTAGAACCATCACCAGTAGCTCCGGAGGCAGGCCCATAAGTCCGCATCGCTGACTCTCTCTCTGCAAGTCGAGTGGAGAGAGTTCTCCGTGCAGACTCCAACCAGACATGACGTGGGGTCAGCTACTTCAGAGGCCGCGACAAATTAACACCGGCTGGAGCCGTTCCTACGAGACTGCAACGAGTGAGCCGCTTGCGCTTGTTTTCTAGAGTCTAGTGCAGGTGCAGCGTCTCTGTTCGCTGCGTTTCCTCGACAGATCACCTAGAACAGGTGAATGCTCGACCACCACAACCTATCGCGCCAAACGTTTGAATTTCACGCATGCGCAGTTTGTTTTCCCTTCGATGACCTTTGGACCTTTACAAGTTGCTGAGTCAGCAAATTTAATCTGCTACACGTTGCGCGCATGCAATGGCTGAAGCTGGTGCAGAAGACGCGACGAACGCAGAAGGGGGCGAAGCCAGTATACCATCTCCCACCTCTTCAGAAGGAAAGGAATTGAGTTAGTTGTAGCGCAGCGTTGGACTCCAATGGAGCAAGCATTCTTTCTTATTCGCTGCACAGATGACAAGCCGCCGGCAGAGGAGCTACACTTTCGCGTCGTCTGGAAGAAGAAAATCTTCGAGGTGTCTTTCGGCGCAGAGCAGAAAGTGGCAAAACTCAAAGAACACATACAGACGCTAACAGGTCCTCGAAAGCAAATACATTTCCATTTCAATTGGGTTCTATTAGTGTGATCTAATAGGTATTCCTCCAGCTATGATGAAGTTGATGTATAAAGGACTACTGAGAGACGAGAAGACGCTGCGAGAGGCGAAGATAGCTAACGGAGTGAAAATGATGGTGGTTGGGTCGACTGTGGACGACGTGCTCACAATACAGCCACCAGACCCTAAAGAGTTGAAAACAAAAAAGACTGAACACACAGGTTTTAAGCCTTCTGACTCTGTCTTGCTCGACAATTGCGTGATAATCCTGCACTCTGATTTACTGCCTTGTTTTTCACTGTGCTTTACTGGCTTATGAGTTATGTCTTCTTGCTCTTCTGCACTGTTTTTTACTGCCCCGTCTGTATTTGTTTGTTTGTTGTGTGTGTGTGTGAAGTGAAAAAGGAGGCCCTGAGTGAAATGAAGGAGCACAAGAGACTCATAGAGAAGGGAAGACCAGACGACGTACCACCTGGTTTCAGGTTTAGAACGGTGGGTGGCATGTACGGCATGTAGGTTGTATAAACAGCTAAATAAATCCAGTAATACAAACTGGTGGAATACGTTAAACTACCATACTAAATTTTCATCGATTTTGCATGCATATGCATCAGGGATGCAACGTGCCTAATTTTTGATTGATGTGGACTTAATATTCGGTGCAGGAACCGCTGCCGCCACAACCACTGTCCGGTATGCTGAACAAACATGGTAATAAAGTTAGGCTACATTTCAAGACTGCTCAAGAAGAGCTATGGATAGGAACCAAAGGTTCATACACTTGGCTCACAAGCAGTTATCTATATACTCTGACCCATAAAGTGGTCTCTCGGAGGTGAAAATCAACGGGTTAACAATCTTAGCTGGGGACATTGACATATACTATGATCTTCTTATTGGGTGGTCACTATAGACAGGTTTCACTGTATGTGTAAATACGTCCCTTATGCTCATGCATGATCATGCACGTAGCTATAATATCCTTTGTATTAATGTTTGTGGTGTGATGCTAATACTATTTTTTGTGCAGAGAGGACTGAGAAGATACCAATAGCATCGATAAGAACAGTAGTGTCAGAACAAATCAAGGACGATCCCGACTATCACATAATGGTGGGCCCCGTGGGTGTGCAATAGCAACACTATCTTGCTGGAGCTACCCCTACCTTGCCTCTATATTATACAGTCCCTTTCCCATTCAACGATTCCCTTTTTGCAAGTCACCTTCCTTCTAAAATCTCGCTCCTCCCTCAACAACTTTCCTTTCTGCCTAGGGCCTCCAGCTAGGGCCTACGGAGCTGTCCAGATACTGGATCTACTGGGTACCCGCTCAGTACGTTGAGGCAATCAAGGAGATGATCCTAGGGAAATGGCAGATATGACTAAGTATAGTTCTTTATCTTTGCTGTGCCGTGTTCTGCTTCCATCTATTATTGCTAATAGCCATCTTTTATCATCCAACCATACAATTATATACACCATGACTCATGAGCTGCTTTAGGTATCCAGTGAATATTACTGACCCAAGCATGCGCAACACATGAACATATATTTTTTGAAAGTCCGAAAGTAATTCGTGATCAACACATTCAGATGCATTAAAAACTCAAGTGTGTGTGTTGCATCTAAAGAAGTTTCTGGTATTGTCAAATTTGTGAACTCGGAAAATAGTCATCTTGTTTTTTATACACTGCATACATTGACTGGGTGTGTGTACTTATTATCATACAGCATGTTCTAGTCTCTACTGAGAGACTCGTGAATGGAAGGGGATAGTGGGTTGTGATGAATAGTACCATTCTGGTCTAGCCTTATATGGGCATCATACGCATTGCTACTCGGCGGTCCGGTTGGAAACGTTTCCATTGGTAACGCAGCTGTTGCCACGGTTTCAGTGTCGCCAAGCTCATTCTCCCAGTTTTCTTCCTCAGAGTGTTGCACGTGGGGGTCGTTAGCACCCGCGTCTCCTCCAATTATTACCTCTTCTTCCTCGGTCTCCCAGCTGGAATCGGACCCCGAGGAATGGGAACCGGACTGGGTAAAGGAGGTGGTCCAATCACTGAGGGCTGTCGGCAGCGTCATGGGCCATTCCTGTTCTGAACTCGATTCCTCTTCCTCTCCGTACCACCTCACCGACGGGGTTGACGCCGTGGCTTGGTCCGATTCCGGTTCCACGTGGGGACTGACAGCAGAATGTTGGGTAGGAGCAGTGGGTGCAGTGGCTCCTGACGACGGGGGCTCTTCGTCGGTTCCACTGCCATCAGCCTCGTAGCCAGTCTGGTTATCACTGGCCTCCTCTGTGAGGAGCGGTTCGACTCTCTCTTCATTATCACTACATGTGTGGAGAGAGAGTAAAGTTTGGCTGCCTCTCAAGCACCTAAATTACAGGTGTGTGTTTTTGAGGTTTTCACAGGTAGCTATGTGTTGTGCCTACTAACCTTCGGTGTGGTAGATATGGAGAGCCTAAAGGTAACTTAAAAATTCCCAAAAACGTCTCGAAAATTTTGGGGGTTGTAATGTAAAATTGTACTCAATACTAGAGCACTTGCCTCTCGGCACCGGACTCTTCATCAGTTGATTCATGTTCTTCTTCCTCCTCCTCCTCCTCCTCCTCCCCCTCCTCCTCCTCCTCTCCATTCCCCCCGTCCCCCGCTGCTGCCCTAGCTATCTCCCTGTATCTCTGTCTCATCTCCCTGATCATCCTCAGCATCTCCTGCAGGACTTGTCCGGGCCTCACCTCCTCCCCTCCCCCCTGGTCCTCGGGAATCTCCTCATTCCCACACCGGACAGTGTTGTAGGAGCCGCAGTTGGTGCACTTTAGCCCGACTATGTGGAAATCAGTCTCAGTCTCCCGAGAACAGTCTCGGCATTTCACCTGCAGTCAACATTATACATACATGTGTCTCTACTATGTCTTACCAACCAGCACGTATGTAAAACATGTGCATTTCACCATACATTTCCCCCGCTGATAGGCATTTGCAGCAGGTGGCTACTACCATTTGTTCGTTGTCTCAAGTACAGTAGTAAACACCCCACTTTTGTCCACTACATCCAATCCCAATGCACATTACTCTTTACTACGCAAACCTGTGTACACATATGTACATACAATAAGATGTACTATACACATATGTACATACAATAAGATGTACTATACACATATGTACATACAATAAGATGTACTATACACATATGTACATACACATCCAGATACTATTCTCCACAGACTGAAACTGTGTATATACCGTGGATGTTGTTCACCTTGACTTTGAATTCCCGGAGGTGTTGCGGCATCTGCCACATTTCTCGTTCCTCGTCATGGCGACGCCAGGCAGTACTCATGTCCGTTATGCTCCTCTGGCACTGAGGACATTGGTACAACCTAGAGAGAGGGAAAGATTGTGGAGTATTGAATGTGTTATAAGTATAGGTATATAAGATACCCTTTTTGTAGCATCTGTGTATAGCACATCCTGTGGAAGATGGAAAACTGGCTTATCATTCTGTATGCATGCACAGAATGCTTACATGTGTAGCAGATGCCCACATTCCGTTGTATGCATGGCAGACAGCGAAGTGTGGAGATCCTGGGGGGGGGTGGGATCAGCAAGTCCAACAATAAAAATCCTTTCTTTGTCTCCCTAATGGTCCTAGTGCTATAGCTACCATTTCTCCCAATCTCTCTCTCTCTCTCTCTTACTCTCCCTCTCTCCCCCTCCCCCTCTCTGGTGTATATAGCTCACCTCCATACACACGGGACAGTTATCGTGAGAGGCCTGCCTCCTACAGAAGTGACTCTCCTTCACCGTGAGACAGAGGCAATAGCCACACGTGTCGCAGTGGAAGAAATTCTCCCTCCCTCCAACCCTGCGTGAACAAACACCACTTTCAGGATTTCCCTCTTAATTCAACAAGCGATATCTCCGATACAGCGTCTGGGGAGGTCACGAGAGGCTGTGAATGTGCACAATGCAGCCCAGTTCCGACTTACACTATAAGAATAAGATATCCTTTTTGTTGCATCTGAGTATAGCGGATCCTTTAGTGCTATGTACCAATGCCAATGGCACTTGGCAATGCACCATTAGACCAGGAAAGTGCCCTAATAACTAACGCATCATCCTGTTTAGTGAAGTACGAAATTTTCTCTTAGGCATAGAGGCCAGTATTACATGGTGCAACTGGGTCACATCCGTATTGGGTGCTAGACAGCATATACGAAACCTGTCTGTTTAATATATAGCAGATGGGACATCTACTGCTTAAACTCTAAGTAGCATACCGTATTTCCTCGAATAAACGCCGCACTTCGAATAGTAGCCGCCCTCGAATAGACGCCGCACGTAACGTCCGCGCGGTGTAATAGTGGCCGCCCTCGAATAGTAGCCGTATTTAATATTCATAGAGCAATGCGCATGCGTACAATCACGTGACGCCAAACCGTTAGGCGCCTATGCATGATATAGGTGCGAAATTGGAAGCTAGTAGCAGCCAGCTGCGTGCATGAGATGGCAGAGGCTACAGCCAGAAAGAAGAGGAGCTTTGATGCATCGTTTAAGCTGAAGGTCATTGACTTGCTCCTGCGTGTGCGCGCGCGCGCCTATATTACAGCCGGCCTCTCGCGCCTTTCTCCCGAGAAGGCGTGGCTCCGCGAAGCTGCGCGCGCCGTGCTGCGAAATAAACGCCGCCCTCGAATAGGCGCCGCGGGTTAGTGGCGCTGAAAAAAATAGTAGCCGCGGCGTTTATTCGAGGAAATACGGTAAGTTGCAGTGCCATACTACTGTGCCGCATGTTAGCAGAAGTCTTTGAGGATATGGTGGTAGCATAGGTTGGAGGAATGACTTACGCACCGACACAGACCACATTTTCCACAGTGGAACTGCTGCTTGTCGTCGTCGGAATAGAGACGACAAATGGAGCAGAAATAGTGGCTACCGAAACTGATACCACAATCTGAGCAACACCTGGAAACCTGGGGGAAATGACACACTCGCTAAATTTTTAGAGAGGCAATAGGAGAGAGGGAAGGAAGTTAGCAACAGCAGACCATTTGTGGGGACTGCTGCATACAGGTCTACAGTATATATATATATGCCTTGGGGACACCTTTATTCAGAGGTGTCCCTTATTCGGAGGAAATGTAATAAAGTATGGGCCAGAATCAAGTGTACTTTATAGAGAGGTGTCCTTCGCCAATTAGCCTAACTGAATCAATGTGACTAGACTCTCCCTCCATATGTGAGTGTGCTGTCTGTGAGACTAGGAAAGAAAGGCTTACTGGCTGTTTCTTGTGGCAGTTGCGACACTGGACCTCTGTGACTCTGTAGCGATCAATCTTGTGGGTAAGCTCCTGGTCGTCATGGCACAGTCGACATGGGTACACCTTACCACAACATGGAGACTATGAAAGCGAGAAGGAAGACGATACAATGGATTTATAGAGCTACCTACGGTATCTAGCTATCTTCAGACACGCAGACACACAACACACGACAACGCCAGGCAGCTATGTACGTGTAGTCTATACGTAATGTAAGGACAGTTTACATCTAGAAGCACCCTGTAGTCTAGTCTGCATACCACAAAGGAGCACCCGCGGCTGTAGTGGGAACACAGCTTTCTGTAGTCCCCAACTGGCGGATCCGTGACGTCCTCGTCCATCTTGCCCACTTGCTCGCCCATGTTCCGCGCCCGGTTTCTCCTCTGGCCAAGTAGCTATGAACAGAGAGCCCTAGCAAGAGGTGGGGTTTTGTTGCCAACGCGCAAAATAATGACGTCATACCCACGTGTACGAAAACTGGGGGAAATGGCTAAAAAGACGGCTCGAGTTCTTGCCAGATCACCGCTGGGACCGCTAAGAAAGGTTTCCCGCGGCAGACCTGGCAACAAGGTGAGCTTATGGTGTGTGCGCGGGGCGCAATTGGCCGTTGTTGGATGTCTGCCCAGTTTCGTAATGGCTGCCCGCCTTGGCGATGTGCAGGTTCGCCGACTTGCCGCGTGGCGGGAGGAGAAGAAGCGGAAGATGAAGGAGAAGAGGGAGAGGAGAGAGCAGCGACAGAAGGAGAGAGAGAAACTAGGAGAAGACGTGAGTCAACTAATTAGGGGGTGCTGATTCAAGGGGTCGAAAATCTGCCCCCTTCGCAGGCCCCTCCAAAGTTGGAACCTCGTACCATTGAAAACACTCGCGTAGTGGACGAGACAGTGGTGGTGCCAGACGATGAAGAAGTGATTCAGGACGAAAAAACGGATGAATTTGCCGGTTACTTTGATCACCGCGTGACCCCCAAGGTTCTGCTGTTGACCGTGAAGAAACCCTCGGGAAAGACTGTACTGCTGCTGAATGAACTCAACAAGTGCATCCCTAACTCGGAGTTCAAGTGAGAAAAAGAGAGGAAACCGATACTCATTAGTTGAGTATGCATAATGTATTGTTAGAGTGCACACAAGAGAAAGCCGATTTGGAGTGTGTTCCGATATTACCCCATTTGTTTCTATTCCAGACTCCGCTGGGGAGCTGAGCTAAAGAAAGTCATCCCGGAAGCCGTAGAAAGAGACTTTACCGACATTCTGGTGGTGAATGAAGATCAGAAGAGACCAAACGGACTGGTGGCAATCCACCTCCCCTCCGGTCCCACTGCACACTTCAAACTCACCGGCTTCAAGAGAGGATACGACATCAGGGTATATAGCTCAAACCTTAGAGATCACGTGACAGTCATGTGACTACAGCTAGTGATCACATGATTGTCATGTGATGTATTACGTGACTGCCTGGGGATTGAGTAATTGTCCTGTGATGGCCACATACCGATCTTGTGTTAGAATCTAGTGATCACATGATTGTCATGTGATACGCTCACGATGATCATGTGACTGAGTAGAGATCTGATTGGTGCGTTCTGTAGGGGCATGGGAAGGTGACGCAGCACAAACCGGAGGTGATACTCAACAACTTCACCACTCGACTCGGTCACAGTGTGGGGAGGATGTTTGCGTCCTGGTTCCCTCAGGTCCCCCAGTTCACCGGGAGGAGAGTCTTCACCTTCACAACCAGAGAGACTTCATCTTCATCAGACATCACAGGTGTATATATACCTACTGGCATTACTGTTTATTGGAGGGTGGTGCCGAAATTATCACGAAAACACGAATAGTCGTAATGATCAGCTGTCCCATTAACTACTCTTGAAAACAAATAAGGCAGTGTTTCAAAACTTTTGACGCATTTCTATGCCAATTTATTTCCTTCATGCATTATTTCGGGTGAACAACTATTTAATTGTGGAAATTTTACGCTATTCTTTAGTGGCTAATGTGTTCCTCCCTCATGTGTTCGCAGGTACATATTCAGGGGAGCAGAGAAGGTCGGTCTCCAGGAACTGGGGCCTAGGCTGACTCTCAAACTCCGCTCGCTCCAGGAGGGAACCTTCGACTCCAAACACGGCGAGTACATCTGGGTCCACAAGGTCAGTGTATATAACCGTCTTAGAGCCATGTGTTTTCAAGGATTTCCTGTCTATCTGTAAAGTTTTCTTGCTCTAAAGCACGTCGTGACCTGTTCTTATTGTTTCCCACTTTCAGAGAAAGCAAATGGACACCAGTAGAAGAAAGTTCCACTTGTGAAAAACACTCGTTTTTCTCTCATCATTTTATCAACAAAAAAATCAATATTATTAAAATTGCTAATCAATTGAGCTTTTTCTGTTTGTCAGGAACTAGAGGATAGGAAATGTTGATTGGACGACCCGTTTTTTCATATACTCTTTTTGGTTTATTGGTTGCCACAGTTTTGGCTTCCTTGGTGTCTTTGGTTTCCTTGGTAACATCAGAAGTGGGTGTGTCCTCTTTGGAGTAAGTGGTGGGTGTGGCAGTGAACTGGAGGAAGTGAGTGAGGATGGTGAAGGGGATGAGGAGGAGGCAGGAGGCGGACGAGATGAGAACGGGGAAGATGTGTGGGAGACGCGGAGGAGGAGGGACGAAGTGAGAGGTCACGCAGAGTGCAATTAGGAGGGAGAGTACAGTGGGACCCTAGAAGTGAAGAGAGAGAGTTACACATGAAGGTATGATGCCAAGAGCAAAAAAGATGGGAGCTCTGGACAGCTGTTTCGGGCTGGTTGGCCCTCATCACATGTAAAGACAGGGAAAGAGGAAACAGAAAGACATTTACAAAGAGCCTTGTATAATTTTGATGGCCTGTGAAAACCTTCAAAAAATCGGTGCAGGTGTGTAACTATTTCCAAAACCAAGAAATGAACAAGCAACAAAGAGAGAAGAGAGAGAGAGAGACTAGACTGACCACTATATGCGCCATGCGAGACAGCCGCCCTCGCTTGCTGGTGGAGGAAGGTGTGAGTGAGAGGGAGAGAATGGTGTACAGAGCAGTCAGGGCGCAGCATGCCAGAACCAGTCCGTCCTTGGCGATGAGAGGGTACATGGAGAAGACTGCCAGTAGCTGGAACCAGGTGACGATGTGAGGGTGGTGAGGGGTGAGGAGGGAGCAGGGGAGGAGTGCCAGGAGAATCGACTTCTCGTGGACTTGGTACGAGAGCAGGAAGAAGATGAGGGAGGAGTTAACCTGTGACAGAGTGGAACCCTCTAATTAATAACTAAATAGCAATTTTAACAGGAGCACCTCACTAATAGGACACTCTCCCCAAGAACACTATTTAGCATTTAACCCCCAAAAAATAAGGACACCTCACTATACCTAATTCTGTTCCATTATAGTATCCAAATTAGAGGGGTTCTACTGTAATAAGCAACTCCCCCTAGTGGCTAACCAGGGCCAAGATGAATCTGAGAGGGGTGGGGTTTCGTAGAGGTTCCAAGACGAAGGAACGAGAGCCGTTACCGTGGAGACCGCAGTAACTTTGACCAGTGTCGAGAGCGAAAATAATCTTCTCAGCTTCACCAGCACAGAGAGGGAGCACCATACGTTGGCCACTTTGTCCTCGTACAGACCGCGAGCGAAGGGAAACAAGCGATGTACGACTTGCAGAGTTTGGTCCCAACTCCCGAGAAAAGGAAACCAGCAGGCAACAAACGTACCACCCACAGCCACCCCCAGGAGTCCTACTCTTTTCAGAAATTCTCCTCCGCTTCCAGAGCCAGCTACGGACTTCCCGAGAAGGTAACAGAAGAACGGCACGGCGTGGTACAGCTCCATCTGTTTGTAGTTCAAAGCCAGTGCGAAGAGGACCGAACCGGTGACGTTGTGGTCAGTTGTGACTGCGATAATGGCCCAGAACGTGAGGCCCAGACTGGCACAGTTGTACTGAAAGTGTCCGTGATCAATGATTATTAGAGCTGGTGTGAGGAGGAGCAGTCCCAAGAGAGAAATCTACATGGGGGGGAGAATGTCACCATAATTATTACCAAGATTCACACGCACTCTACTGATAGTTATTGGGTGAAAGAATAAAATCAGCAAAAACCAGGTTTCAAGCTTGTATTCCTCGCATCGGAAGACTGGCTGACTATGCAGGAGCTTAATACAGCAAAGTATACGCTTATAGAAAGAAAAAAAACCTGTGCTACACGTGTGTTACATGCCGTATAAGTTGGTTGAAAGACCCATATCCCTTCCAACCATACTTACCCTCTCCCACATGGCATCCTTATTCCTATAGACTAGTCTAGAGAACACCACAGCCGCGGTGAAATAAACCAAGACGTCCACGGCCAACACGGTGTAGCGCATGAACAGTTTGTGATGGTAGCTCTCGAAGCCGCGAGACAGGTGAAGTGACACCCAGGATGGGTTGATGCGACTGGCAACTGCTCCACACAGCCAGCTGTGGTAGGCAGTGAGGGGAGGGTAGTCCAGCCCCCAATATTGAAGGCGGTTGTCTGTCGTGTTCTCGTACCTGCCTCGAGAAAGAAGACCGCTCACGGGAGAGTTAGAGGATTAGTTTTTGAGGCACCGCACCATTCGTGGATAGGAAGATTGTAAGTTATTTCCATCCAGTGCCTCTGTGCTTCATAGTCCCCATACATTGGTGGCTGGCCTTCTCCTGCATCATAAGTACGCTAAGCTCCTATATACCGCAGGGAGAGTACGTTGCGTTACGTTATACTGACCGGAGTACGGATGGAGAGAGACGGCGAGTCGCACCAGTATCACCGTAGAGAGCACCCCGATACTCAGACACAGCTCTAAACCTGGCACCAGCACTGGCTCAGCCATCTTTGAGAACGCACGTGGAACAACCGCAGCAAAACGTGGCTGCCCCTCCCCCTACAGACCAATAGCAAGTTGCATGAAGAAATTAGCTACAATCACCAACAGAACTTCATCTCTCTCTTTT